AACAAAGTAACATTTCAGATTAAAAATAAATAAAACAATAAAATAATAATAATAAATAATGATAATAACAATATTAATATTCATAATAATACACACTATCCTAAAGTGCAACTGAAGCCAAAACATTTTTAGTTTTGGATAGAGTGGAGTTTTGTTGCTGCCTGTGTCCCAGTTAGGGAAATTCACCCCCTCTATTTGTCCTGGTGGTCGTTATCACTGAGAATCAAAGTTAAAGAAAATCCAAAATTTTGGGTTGTCTTAAGAACAGAAATAGATGGTAAATCTTCCAAGGGGGGCACTGGTTCTGACCACCAGGGATTTTCCTCTCTTTGGAGGGATTTCCTCTCACTTCCTGTTGTGGTTTTTGGACAGGAAGTGAAGGCAAACCTTTATAATGGGACACAGATGGCCGGAAAAAAAAAACTGTTCAGGGTTTTAAAAACCTCCGTTACTGTATCCAAAACGACAAAATATCAATTTAATTTAAAAAAAAAAGCTATAATAAGCAACATATTAAAGGGCTGTAACATATACGACCTTAAAACATGCAGAAAAAAAAGGCATTTCAAAGAGCATTCTCCTTTACCATTGGATGTCACATATTCCACAATCCGTCATCACATGCAGCATCGGTAAAACATGCACAAATTGAACGTTGCCATTGCGGGATGCACAAGGTACCTACCTGTCCTCATGTAAGTGGGCGACAGGGACACAAACTTCTCAACAAGCTCGGCCATTGCGCTCGAATGCATCGGAAACCACGTCACAGCCGACCGGGCGACCGGTTAGTAGAGGTTAGGGGCAATCACAGTGAAATTAAGGTGTTAGCGCTGGGTTAGGGCACAGCAGTGCGGAGGTGAGAAGAAAAAACAAAGCGGGGGGAGAAACATTACACGCGTGTTATATGTCAAACGGAACACGTCAACAGATTCTTGCAACATTAGTGACTACGGACAACGGTACGAAATAAACAGAACACCAAAAAATAAAATAACATATTTATCGCGGCCTGATTTATTAAAGTGGCGGCACACGTGGAGCTATCGCCCGTAGCAACCGGACCATTCAGCGGTCCGCATACTGGCCATGACCCCGCGGCAGTCATTTGCTCTTCAGGAACCAGAAGTCACAAGAAAGCATCCCGGGGCTTTTGGTCCCTGAACTGCTGCAAGGCTGCCAGGATGTAAAGAGAACCTGCCAAGATGCAAATGTGAGAGCTGACACCGTCGACTCGTTTTTTTGGGGGGGGGAGTGCAAGCTCTGAGGCCAACAACGTCCGGCTTGCTTTACTGCTTAAAGTGATCCCGAATTGGCCTGAAATGAGCCAGCAAGTGCGGGAATTTAGGGGACAATGACATGTGCTGGGGCTCGTTCACACCGGCGCATAGTAGTAAAATGTGCGCATTGCGACAATGTGCAGGTCAGTCATTCATTTTCAATTTCTCATTTCAAATCCCTCCAACTCTGGAGAGATTGTATTTTTACCACTTCCTGTTTTGACAGGAAATTAGCGGATGGCTTTCCAATATGGACGCAGCAATACAAATCTGAGTCTCTAAAGCCAAATAAAATTGGGCTAGAATTGCCCGTTTAACTCAACTGTTAGATGCCGCTACTTCCCTGCCGGTCTCCTGAAAACGTCAGGTGCCTGGCCATGTACTTCCCTGCCGGTCTCCTGAAAACGTCAGGTGCCTGGCCATGTACTTCCCTGCCAGTCTCCTGAAAACGTCAGGTGCCTGGCCATGTACTTCCCTGCCGGTCTCCTGAAAACGTCAGGTGCCTGGCCATGTACTTCCCTGCCGGTCTCCTGAAAATGCCAGGTGCCTGGCCATGTACTTCCCTGCCAGTCTCCTGAAAATGCCAGGTGCCTGGCCATGTACTTCCCTGCCGGTCTCCTGAAAATGACAGGTGCCTGGCCATGTACTTCCCTGCCGGTTTCCTGAAAATGCCAGGTGCCTGGCCATGTACTTCCCTGCCGGTCTCCTGAAAATGCCAGGTGCCTGGCCATGTACTTCCCTGCCGGTCTCCTGAAAATGCCAGGTGCCTGGCCATGTCTGCCTTCAATACGTTTAAGTCACAGACCTGGAGCAAGTCTTCTTAAAAGGAGAGGGGTCAGCAGCGGTATCTCCCATACTTCTATCCTGACACATTCACTTTAAATGGCTGTAGAATCCAAGGGGCTCTGAGGTGACACAGGGGATGACATCTGAAGGGGTAACAGAGGTAACTAGACACCGCAAGGTGCGATTCATCACTGGGGTCACTGGCTGCTAGGCCAGGTCATATACACTTCAAATATGACTTGGGAGGAAGTATTATACGGCCGTAGAATCCAAGGGGCTCTACATGACACAGGGGGGCCATTTAAAGGCTGATACAGGTATCTACAGACACCACAAGGTGTGATTCATCACTGTGGCCACTATTAGGCCAGGTCAGGTCAGATACACTTTAAATATGACTTGCGCTGAAGTATAGCATTGCTGTAAAATCCAAGGGGCTCTACACGACAGGGGGGG